CTCAAACAAACACATGATATCACCATTACCACACTTGACATACTAGCAAGAAAAACAATTTCAGCTTGCGGCACTGTGAGACAATTTAGTTTTCTAACTTCCAATCTCTCTCAAGATCATTTAGTAAGTCTCCATATTCAGCTCCAAGTTTCACATTAGGCACGTAGGAGTATCACCTGGTTGGGCAGCATTCATACCCTTTTCATCAAGTCTAAAATATGCCTTACTTGAGAAAAACAAATATATTTTTCACTCTGAGGGACCTCAATACCCATGAAATATTTGAGAGTATCCTAGTCTTTTGTTTAAGACTGTATGAAGAGAAAACTTAAGAGCATCAATTTTTATAATATCACTTCCTATAATTATAATATTGTCAACATACACTAAAACAAATTAGCTTGCTTATAAAATACTAAATAGTCATGTACACTTCTTTGTAGACCAAAATCAATAAAAACATTACTGAACTTCTCTGACCAGCATGTGGAGATTGTTTGAGACCATACAAGAACTTCCTCAGTTTACATGCCCTACTAGACTTCCACTAAGCAACAGAATCTGAGGATTTCTCCATATACACTTCTTCCTTGAGGTCACTATGAAGAAATCTAACTAATGTAAGGGTCAGTGTCGAGAAGCTGCAAGAGAAATAAAAAGACAAATAGAGGCCAATTTAGCATCTGGGGAAAAAGTCTCAGAATAGTTCCCATAAATTTGAGCATAACCCTTGATCACCAATCAAGCTTCAAAACCTGAATACAGAAAACAATTCACTCATAAGTATTGCAATAGAACGAAAGAAATAAATAACAAACAGATTGATGCTGATTTTAAAGGCAAACAAGCTTCAAGTAGATCTTCAGGAACTAAAAGTGAATGCAAAAGAATATTGGTAAAGGGGATGTATGATACTTCTGCTGTATAATGTATCAATCACTCTAATATGTTAAACAATCTCAAGAATCCTTAAATAGGCACCTCCTTGAAAGAATCCAACTATGTCATAATTCTCATTTTGTTCAGTTAAAGATATAGTAGTCAAGACCTAATGGTGTAAATTTATATAAGAAAATCAAAAAACCAAATCACACAAACTACAATCATCCAGACATTGAATAAGTAGGCAAAACAAAGCAGGATAAGAAAGAAAAATAAGACATTTCCTTTACCTAAGAGAGCCTTCCAAGTGACCACTTTCAATAGAATGACCAACTCAATTGAAAATTCCAAAATTTGTCAGAGCAGATTCTTTCCCCCCTTCTGTCTCTTGTCTTTTCGATGATTTCTCCACATAATCCAACAAAGCTGAGGAGAAATAACTAAATCTGACGTGATCAAGTAAACAACAAATTAAAATGCAGAAAAAGGGAAATAATAGTTAACAGTTGGTAGCCAAAAATATTACTAAAGAATGGGACAAGTAGATTTTCTTTTCTGGGTAAGTTAAATGTGGTAGAAGGTAAGAATAGCTTTCCAACAGTAATAAACCACCAATCGAAGGCATAGTACATATTTCTTTAGCTTTAGACAAAGTCTAATATTGCAAAGTCGGAATTTAATATCCTAAGACATAAAGGAATCACTTGAATGCATGAACTACATATGTTTTCTAGGAATTCAACATTTCTTTCTGGCATGAAATGGTGTTTGAGAGGTAACCTCTCAGTGCCTTCATCATAATTCTTCGTCTCAAAATTATTCACCCTAAAATATTATATTTTATAAGTGTTTAAGTCCAACTGATGGCTTCCCCCTTCCATGTTCCAAAAGTAACAGACCTTCCATGATAAATGCACCAACTACTTTGTGAGTATTAATAGTAAAAAATGCAGCCAACTGAACTAAATTAATTCGCACGTGACGGGTGAAACTTCATTAGTAAACAATCCCATCCATGTGCAACTTGATTTAGGTGCTTCCTATTTGGTGCCTGTAGAAGAAGAGTAAAACCAAACACCAAACCAGAGAATAAATATGGTCAAAGAAAATAAAATTCTGATTCATTTTTGCAGACGTCAAGTAAAAACTGCACTTACCACTAGATTGCAAACTATCTGACCAACTAGTGGCAGGATAAAATCAACACAAAAAATCAAGAAGAGAAAACTTTACAGGAATATCAGATTTTGTCAAATGTGGAAACAATCCAAATGACTGAGCCAATACAAACATATACCATATAGACATCACAAATATGTGCTTAAATATCTCTTAACCCTTGAACTCTACCTAGATTAAAGCTGGCATAACTAATTAGAAGGTCCATTAGTTTCTCACTCAAACAATTAAGAAATTCAAGGTTCCAAACAAAAATATTAATGAAAACAACCTAAAGCAACAACCAAATCAACAAGATTCTTGAACAGTGGCACAATATGATACTGGAAAGGTAAGTGTAATAAGTTTGAAGGAAAACAAATTGGATCCAATTTTGCATAATAACCGACATGTTGGGGGCCACAGAGAGCTCAGAAGCCTATGAGATAGGGTGTGTAAACTTCTGAATATTTGCAGCAGAGGGGATTCTGTTTCTCTTTGTTTGCTAAAAATAGCTAGCAATGGGTGTAGCAACACCAGTAAGCGGAGGGGATTACCATTTTTTTGTTTTTTTGCTTAACAATTAACATCCTCCAGGTCCTACCAAGTCACATGTTGTAAGCAAATGAAACCTGATGAGAAAGCACCCAATGACATACAGGCAGTAAGCATGTTATGGACATTGGATTGAGAACAGAATTGAACAACTGAATGGGAGGCCATTTATTTTGGATAAATTCAAACCATAGGAAATCAGAGCAAGTATTCAAGAAACAATGTTAGAAGTCCAAAGCCATAGATCTGAACCTCCTGGTGAGTTGTTTACAAAGGAAAGGCTCCTTTGTTCATTAATGAGAGGTTGATAATTGAAGGAATGACAACAATATACCTACCATCACAGTCGCAGAAGGAAGAAGGTGAGGTGTATGTTATGGGTAAGGCGTTAACAACTGAGAAAAAGATCTGAAGCTCCATTAAGACCAGGAAGGTAGCAACTAAACCAAAGTTGGGTGAAATACATGTCAACCAAATGGCTGCCTGAAGCAACATATCCTTTTCCCATTTTGCCAAAGTTGATAAACATTTTGGGAACTTCAGGAATTACTCTAACACAAATGGCCTTTCTATAGAAGGATTATACATATATGGGGACAGCCAACTCAAGGATTCAATAAAGAACTGATTGCAGGAAGCAATCTAAATTCATAAAGCTATTGCTCCTAACTTTAAGCCAATATGCTTGTGCATTTAGAACCCATCCTTGATGGGGTGTGATTGTAAGTGACTACCTCTAGTCAATTCCTCCACCATTACCAACAGGTAGCCAGAAGCCTCCAACAGATCCAGCTCAGAAATGGTAGCAATATATTATTGAGACAAAAGTAAGAAAATCAGGCTTGGAGGAACTACCTATAACTGTTGCTGAGACAACTATTACAAGTACCCTTAAAATTTTTGCAAATTACAAAACAGTTAGAAAATACCTCAGCGATGAAAGATAATATATTACCTTCTATTTCTTCTCTTCTCTGCAGTCTCTTGTCAACAGTAGTCATGACCAAAAAAGAGCAGTGCTTTCAATAAGCTTCAAATCATCTCATACAGACTTTACACTGGTTATCATCATGGCAAGGCCAAAGCTGCTGCAAGTCGAAGGGAATACTCTGCTCCAACCAAGGACATGTTCTAGCTGTTACTCCCTAATCCTGTTCTAGACCATGGTACTTCAATTCAACTAAGAACTTCATTTTGACTTCAAACAAGTCCACTACCATCCAAGATATAATATCTCCATCTCTTTGACATCAACTTTTCTTAATTAAATTAAGAACTCTTTTTTGACTTCAAACTTGTCCACTATCACCCACGTTATTATATCTTCATCTCTTTTCACCTTTGCCATATTTAATGCCTTGATACTCAAGACATAGTATCCCCATCTCTTTTCATGTTGGCCACATCCACCACCTTGAGATCAGCTTCAACAATTTTTTGTCCTTAGATACCGTCAGGACTATCAAATCTCACAAGACTCACATACCTTAACCTCTCAAATGTTGTGTTCAAAGATCCTACCACAACAATTTGCAAATCTTGCTTCTTTAAGATGGCTTGACCTATCATGTCCCAGTAAAGTAGTTGATTTATTGTCCATTTTGTATTACTTGGAATCTTCATTGAAGGTAAACTTGGCTCGGCATCATCTTTCATGCACATAGGTGTCTAGCTTATCTAAACTAAATGACAAATAGTCTTGCAATCTTAGGCATATGCATTGCTTTTCTATTCAGGCTCTTATATATTTGCTTTAAATTGTTCTTTAGTGAATCTTGCATTTTTATATAATTAAATATACTATAATATCCCTAATTTGTACATGTTTAATTTGAACACAGTAAAAAGCAATCCAAAGCTAAATTTCATAACTTCGTAGAAATTATATAAGCATAACAATGTTAGAAAAACTAATAAAATTGTAAGAAACAGCTAAACAAACCTTATTGTGAAAAGAAATGATAACAACACAATAAAAACTAAGTAATATTAACAAAATCTAAGAGTTTCTAGAATAGAGCTTATAGATTTTAAGAGGTTTACAGTGAAAAAATAAAATAAAATCTATATGTCTAGTGTAATTGGTTGAAGAAGAATTCAATAAAAAACTATCAAATCCGAGCAAACAGGGCAAACCAGGCTAGATTTTGCTTGGATTTGATAATTCACACCTTACAGAAATATTAGGAAGCAGAAAATATGAAGAAACTGGAAAAAAATAGCTAAGTGGTTAGGTTCCAGTAAAGCGTGATGCCAAAGATAAGAAGAAAAAAACAGGATAAAGAGAGAAAAACATAACAGCAAGGGATTTATTGAATATTATGAAAATGAATATAACCTAGTAAAGAAAAAGATGGGAGGTGAGTAACAAAATTGTAATGGAAAACATAACTGTAAACACCATTTCATGTTTCCAAGTCCTTGTATGCACTTGAAATCTCTCCAATCTCCATCTCAGAATCATCCATAAGAGAAGAGTCTGCTAAACGACCCATGATCTGTTCTTCCCCCAATTCCACACGCACACTATCTTCCTCAGGATCACTCTGAAACAAATCCTCATCCACCTCTTCTGGAAAATCATCAAAAGTTTCAATTTTCTTCTTCCTTCCTCTATATCCAATAAGACTCTGAACCTTCTCCTTCCAATTAACCAATTGGCATTTTTCAATCAATTCAGAACCTTCATATGCTTCAGTAAGAAACACACTAAATCTTTTCCCCCTCTCAGAAACATAGAATATCCCAAAATGCTTTAATAGCAGCCTCATCAGCTTCTGGGGCATCACAAGCTCCCTTCGGAAATGGGTTAGATGGTCAGTGACCAATCGCTTCTCAATAGTAAAATTAAGCAACTCATGCATCACTGCAACAGCCCTTTTATCAAATTCCTGTGACCCTGCTTTTAGACCCGGGCATCTGCATAGGGGGACAAATAAGGCCTTTTCTGAAAATGATCAATCTTTCCCCCATATCTATACACCTTCTTGTAATCAGGAGGGAATTTCATGGAAAAGCAAGCGAAAGCAACCCGGGTTGGTGATCTGTGGACACACCAATCATTTTCTTCTCTAGTTCAGTGATGGCCAAGATGGGTTCCAAGAAACAAGCTCCAAAAACTCAACATCATCCTCATTCTTAACCACCCTAAAGTGCTGCCGATATCTATGAACCCAGTCTTTTCTAAAATCAAAGGGCAAACCAAAGTCTCTCCTAAAATGAGCAATCTTATCTAAAGCCAAACGCTTGTCAATTGACATCATCAAGAATCTACTTACATGCTCTGCAGCTTTCTCTGAGTAGTCTTCAGTGATGCTCTCCTCTTCCCTGACCAAATCTTCAGCTTCTTTAGTCATTCCAACCCACAAAACCCCTTTATGGTCTTTATACATTTCGAATAGTTTAGGTGATTTTCTGATGAAATCTGAGAGTTTATGGGGTTTTGGCAAGTTGATTTGCCTCCTGTACTGGTCGAGTGATCTTATGGGTATGATTTGTTCACGTTCCTGCTTCAAAATTTCCATCAGGAACAGCACTTTGGATGTAATTTTCCACTTCTCAGTGGCGATTTCTAGGGCATGAACTCTCTTCTTCTTGCTTCGGTCTTGCACTCGCTTGCTTGTCGTCATTAATCGGTGTTGCAGTAAGAACTCCATCAGGCAATTGTGAATAGAAGAATGTCTAAGATCAATGATGGGAGCTCCATGCAGACGGAGACCTCTAAACACTCGACTGGACATTACTACTGGCTGTACAGATGAATTGGGTGTGAATATGAAAATTCTGAAACTCAAACCAAGCGAATCATGCTCAATGAATCACGCTTCTACATGCCTTAGTGAATGCACAGGGCGGCAACCAGCTGTTTGTGAAAAGGCCCCTGGGGGGCAGAAGGCATATTTTGTGCTTCGGTTGTGGTTTGCTTTTAGTGTGGCGTGGGGTGGTTCAAAAATGGTTCCTTGACTATTTGGATATTCTCAATATGGACGCCCAACACAAAAATTGACAATTAGGTCACCCGACTATTTAGTTAGAGCCAAATCATCCCTTCCCTTTGCTGGTCAAAAGCTAAATAACAGGCAAAAAGGATTCACCTCCATCAATTCCTTAATTTGTCTAATTTATTCAATTTGATCTCTTAATTTTAATTTGGATTACGTATATTCTATTGCATATGTTATATTAAACTATTTCGTATATACAAAATAAACTTTTTTATCATATAAAATCACAATCTTCACTCTATTTAAAAAAAGTTAATGGGATTATTTAGTTCATCCAAAATTTGGATTTTTCTTTTGATCTAGTTTCAAATTTTTTTAGATTATTTGATTTAACATGAAAAAATTTTGAAAATTTGAGAAATAGAATAACTTGAAAAACTCAATTTTTTGATAATCTAATTTTGCTAATTTCTTAAAAAGCTGAGTTCCTTTTGTTTGGTTACCTCCAACAAAGTTCGTATGTAAATGAATTTTTTGAATGTTGAAAAAAATAAAAAATTATAATTAAAATTGGAAGAGTCTAAAAAAAGGGTAAAATTACATTTTCAAAAAGTTGGAATTTTTGAATTTTTTTTCCCTTGAATTTTGAGTTTCTTTTCATGTTGGACCAAATATTCTAAAAGGCTACAAAACCAGAAATCTAATAAAACCAACTTTTTTTTTTTGTAAACCAAACATCTTAGTCTTCTTTTGAATGCAATGTATACTTTAATCTTGAATGACAAGAACTTAATTTATTCTTGCTTAATGGTTTTAATGATATATATATATATATATATGTAATATAAAAATTAGACAAAGATGGGGATGGTAATTGGATATGGATCAATAGCTATCTAGAAAAATTATTCTAATAAGTTCAAGTCTGAATACTTCTAAAAAGATCTGAGTTTGAATCTAAATATTAATAGGTCCTTGCATGGGTTTGGATGTGGATCTAGATACTATATTACCTACCCTGTCTTAAACCCCTCATATTAGTATATTACTCTCTCTACATATATATATATACACACACACACACACATATTACTCTCTCTCTCTCTCTCTATATATATGCATATATAATATTTTGTATATAAATTTTATATACATGTATATAAAATATATAATCTTTAATTTATAATTTAATCAATATGCACATTTACAATTTAATTAAATTTTTACAATTATTTTGGATATTTACATTACTCTAAATTATAAAAATAATTTATAACTTGTTATAGATCCGAGTAAATGGGTACTTGATGGATTCGAGTATTAAGATTAAATTATAGACTTGCATGGATTTGAGTTTGGACCTGAATTTCCTTTTCTAATATTGGTCTAAATTTAGGTATTATAAAACCCAGCTCATTATCATCTTTAGATATGGGCTCCAAGTTAGCATATCTTAAAGTAAGCAAATTGAGGTTAATAGGATCCACTACATTAACACTAAGTTAAATTCGAGGGAATACATTTACCTGCGTTGGATTGACACATTTAACACAATCATTGAGTGACCGTATTTATTCAAATTGAAGTTGAAGGACCAAATTGAACAAATTGAATAAGTTAAGGGACCAACAAAGGACTTATTAATCGAAGGCGCCACATTGCAACATGTGTTGACATCATGTTGAAGACAATATTTCATTTGGAAGCAATTAAATAAGGTAGTGTCATGATCCAAAATTTATATCTATGACTAGCGTTAGGATTAGAATGAATTCCATCCAACAAGTCAACAGAAATTATGTAATTATCATATAAATCAAAAGTAACTAAATCGAATCTTGTATAAACATAATCCGAATATAATATATTTCCAAATCTAATAGTCTTGTCGATTATAGAAGAGGACCTATCTGTAATTAATAGAGCCCAACTACCAACACCTCATAGTTCTTAACAGAAATAGAAGAAAACTGTATTATTTACAAGTAATAGAATTAGAGATCTTCTCAGATGGTAGGACTTGACGAAATATCAAACTTTGAATTTGAAAAATGATAAAGGGTGGGTTTACAAACCTAATGAATAATAACATGCCTTTATGAGAATAAGAGACAAGTATAATAGATATAATAGAAAACTTTATAGTATATTAAATCTTTTACAATTATAAAAGATTTTAAGGAGCTCGTGATCTAGAACATTACAGAACAGAAATCAGGATGTGACCTCATAGTCAGCTAATAACAGAAATCAGAAGGTAACATTTTAGTCTGCTAATATATACATATACCATGTTTGTCCAACACGAGAGTCTAGCACTACTCCTACTAGATGGGAATACATTACAGAGTGCACTCAGTTTAGCGTATATTGCCGTTAGTTACAGTATTTTAAAATCTGAAACTCCCTTAAAACAATTTTTCAGAAATAAAAAAAAAAATAGCTCAACAGAAAATTTCATTTATAAATATAAACAGAATCGAATATAATTAAAGATTGTTTTTCCAAAATAATTTTAAAAATTACATACATGTCCCTTGCTATGTTTTTATAACAAAATTAATTCAAATTTCAGAAATTAATTATATAATATAAAATTAGGATTTATAATAGATATGGTAAATACTAAATGCTTATAAATGCATATTATTACTCATAAAACAAGTTATAATCAAATAGTTTGATCTTCGGTAGAACGGATTCAACTGTTAGTATCAATGTTTCATATTTATTTTGATAGTGACAAAACAAATTAAAATTATTATATATATATTTTTATATAATGGATAATATGGACAAATTATATTGTTGAGTTTATTATTTGGAGATATATACATGTCACGACCCCAACTTGGGAGCCGTGACTGGCGCCAAGGATGAGTAACCCATCCTTGGCAAGCCTTAATGACAGATTTCAAAATTTGGCTAAGTGTGAAAATTTCTAGAAATTTCGGCAGAATCACCCTTAAAATTTGGACATTTGCCATGCATTCCTAATCTTTACAACAAAACAACAAGCAGATAGAATAACTAGTTTCAAATAAATTTCCCATAAGTAAAGTAACATAAACTGCATATCAAGCAATCCATAGCCCATAACCCCTTCACAACAAAAGAAGGCATATAAACTAAATTTTTCAATCAAAACCATGCAAAACAAACCCAAAAGATGAGTTTCCTATCTGTGACTGTTTGGAGCATTTAAAACCTACTAGAGCCAAAATAAAGTTTACAAGATGTACCATCGGTAAAATGCATACACGATTACAGGAGTGTGTGAGACTCACCAAAAAGGACACTTGGAGCTCAATGCAGAGGACCGGCAGTGGGATCGGTGTTGGGATCTGAGGGGGAAAATAAAGAGGTGAGAATTATCTCAATAAGTAATAATATGTGAATTCGGCGTAAGAAAACATAATTAATATTGATTTAACTATTTAATCAACACTACATTAAGTGCAAGGGACTTTGTTTGTAATTGAGAATTCTTACCTCTGTCAAGTGTAAGGGACCTAGTAGAACCTCAGCCGGTTAGAGCTCGAGAGAGTGGACGTAGACTTGGGTGACAAGTCGAACTATTATAAAAGAATTTGCATTTCCTATTCTTACTCTCTTTACTTTATTTATAATTGTTTATATTTATTTTAGGTGAATTGCATTAATTCAATCTTTAAAATTTTTATACTTAGCTTATGTGAAAAATACCCAATTCAAAATCTCTCTTGGGTTGCCTTTTGGGACAACATCAACGAGAAACTTCTAAGGGATCAAAAATCACAAAAGCGACAATATGTCCAAATTTGAATCCTTAAGTACTTAAGAGTTTGATTTATTTTAGAAATTTTTAGTTAAACCCATTTAGTTGAGATAATCCAAATACAGAACTAGGTTTAAATCTTGAGGTCCAAAACTTGAAGCCAAATTTAACAGTTCTATATTTTTATTTATTTACTTCCCTTAAAGAGAAATCCGGTTTCATATTTAGATTCCAAAATCTAGAGTCCAAATCTAAGGACTTGATCTAAATCCAGAAATCCAAATTCAACTCATTAGTTCCAAAATTAGAATATTAATATAAGTCCAATTTCATTATATTATATTACTATTGTTGTCATTTTATTATTATTATTATTGTATTATTATTTTACAAATCCAAGTCCCTATTTGAAATCTAATCTAAATCCGATGATTTAGATCAATTATTTAAATTAATATATAGAATCCAAATTTAAAACTAAGTTTAGATCTCAAGATCCACGTTTAGAACTCAATTCACTAACCAAATTCAAAAAACAAGTTCTTGCACAAAAACTAAATTTGAAACTCAAATTTAAATCCAAATTCATATTCATTACCCAATCCTTGGGTCCAATGTCAAAACCCCAAAAAAAGTCCAAAACTCATATTCTCAATTACAATTCTAGTTCCATTAGATCTGAACCTATAATCTCAAAACCATATTAAACTTTTAAACCATAACCTAGAACCATCATCCAAATATGATATGGGGTTTATATCACAATTAAACACCCAACCCCTTTCCACATAACTATAATTGGGTCCAAAATCCAAACCCAAACTCCATTCGTACCTGACTAACTAGGTTGTCTTTTTGCTTTCTTCATCGAGTGAATCCCATAGTAAGGCAAGCTTCCAAGTTTGCAATGGTGGCTTCTGATGTTGAAGAGAGACAAGATGAATGCTTCACTTTCATTGATTGAACAAAAATGAAATTAGAAAGGATGGTGATGCTTGCAATGGTGGGGGAGAAGGCGACGAAAATCAATGACTGTGTC